CCCTAAATGTAGCATATGTTCATGCAGTAGAATATTGTTGTTGTTAATGTGCCATGGAGTCGGACCCGACTCATAGCGACCCCTCCTTGGGTTTCCCAGGTGGTATCACTATGGAAGTAGATTGCCCAGCTTTCCTTCCAAGGAGTGGCTGGTGGGTTTGAAGCACCAACCTTCTGGTTAACAGTCAAGTGTGTTAGGCACTATGCTACTCTACCATAAAGAGAAATTAAATTCTGTTACAGTAAAACCTATGAAAGTCAGAAACTGTATAAGGCAGAAACCTGTCAGAGAAGGAAAACTCATAGATTTTCCACAAATAGAGAGTGCTAGAAAAATGGCAAGACTGTACTCTGTTAAAGGCAGAATACTTGTGAGACCCAGAAAAACAGAGCAGTCCTATAGAGTTCCAGCTCTCAACAGATTTCACAGTATGTGCTGTGACGTGGGTAAACCTTGAAAGCATTATGCTAAGTGAAATAAGCGAGACACGAAAGGACTAATACCATACAATCCCTTTTATGTGAACTATCTAGAACAGGCAAATGTGTAGAAACAGAAAAGAGGTAACTGGTCATCCAGGACTAGGGGGAGTGGGGAATGAGGAGTCATTACTTAATAGGTACAGAGGTCTTGCTTGGTGTGATGAAAAAGTTTTAGAAAAAAATAGTGGTGATAATTGTACAACATTGTGAGCATTATCAATGCCACTGGATTATACATTTGAAAGTGATAAAAATGACAAATTTTATGTTGTATATATTTCACCACAGTAAACCAACAAGGGAAAAAACTTTGTAAAACAAGTTAAAGCTATAAATTGCCTTTTGAGTACCCTTTTAGAATTATCCTACAAATGCTGATGTGTTGTTTCTGTTTCATTCAGTTAACTACTTTTTGGTTACAGAATATACTTAGTATGATTTCAGTGTTTTTAAATTTAGGAAAACTTGTTTCATGGTGCAGATTAAGGTCTGTCTTAATCTTGGTTGGAGTGCTCTGTATATGACATTTACACCTACGTCTCATTTACCAATCCCGTTATCCGACATTTTGCATTTAAGACAGTTTTGAAAACACTCTCAAGTGGTGCCTCCAGTGGTCTTGGCCCCATGTGGAGCTATGGCTGGGCCCAGTGTGCCCTCCACAGGCCATCCCAAACAATATGCTGGAAGTCTCAGCAACAACTTGGCCATGCAAGGGACAGCAGCCAACTGGCTACAGGATACCTTCTCCTCTTCATCCATGACATTTCAGTCCGGTCACAGAAGGCACAGGATGACAGTGGTATGACACTAGGTTGCAGGTGGGCAGGGGGAGGCTAGACCAGGGCCCAAAGATGCCAGTGAGGTTGGTCGGGGGACGAGGGAATTGGGAGGAAGAGAGAAGGCCGTGGAGGGCTGAGGGGCCAAGGAAGACAGAGGATGAGTGGGGTCCCTGCCTAGGGCAAATGTGAAAGGAAAGGGCAGGTGAAGGATGAGCAGGCTCCCTACCTAGAGTTTGCAGGGGGCGGCAACAGGTGGTAGGCAACACCTACCTACTATTCCCAAACCCCATGGGCTCCGCCACGGTAAGGGAGGGAGGCTGGCTGCATCCCAAAACATGCTGAGGGTGCCTGACGGGTGGTGAGCAATGGGTAGGAGACACCAGTACTGAAGATGGCAAAGCCCCTGACTCTTGAATAGTGCTGATTTCACATGACGGCCTGGTTTTTGAAACCTAACCATGTTAGTAAGTGGGAAGTGGGTGCAGTTTCAAGTTGATTGATAGTGTTGTTCATATCTTCTGTATCCTTAATGATTTGCTGTTTACTAGTTTTATTAATTACTGAATGAGGATTGTTGAAATATTCCAATGTAATTTTGTATTTCTGTTTTTCTTCTTTAAATTCTAGCAAATTTTCTTTAAGGTAGTTTAAAGCTCTATCACTAGGTACATGCATCTTAAGGATTGTGTGTCTTCTTGGGTAATTGACTCTTTGTTTAAGAACTTAGCGTTTTACCCCGATAATATTTTTGCTGTGAAATTTCTTTTCTCTGACATTAATATAGATGTCCAGGCTTCCTTTTGTATAGTGTTAACATGATGCATAATTTTCTAACCTTTTACTATTAACCTCTGTCTTTACATCTAAAGTGCATTTTTGTAAACGACATATAGTTGAGTCTTCTTTTTTCATTTATTCTCACAATCTTTGCCTTAATTGGAGTATTTACATTTAATGTATTATTGATATAATTGTGTTTAAATATTATTGTCTCATTGTTTTATGTTTGGTATTTGTCTCTCTTACTTTTTTTTGGATAGAATATTTCCTTAACATTTAATTTCTTCTGTAATTGGTGAATTACCTATACCTCTCTGTGTGTGTGTATGTGTGTGTTTTAGTAGTTCTCTTGAGTTTACTATATATGTATATATATCTTAATTTTTCACAAACTACTTTGAAATATCATTATGCCATTTTACATATAACTTAAGAACATTGTAGCAGTTATTTCTCCATTCTTGAACTTTCAGCTATTGTATCTACATTTAATTTTTACCTATATTATAAATCTCACATCACATTTTTTTACTATTTTTTCCTTCAAGCCTTCTATTATAAGAGTTTGCATAGCTCCAGATTTTCATCTGGTATTATTTTCCTTATGCCTTAAGGACTTCTTTTAACATTTCTCTTACAGTGCTGGTCTTCTAGTAGTGAATTCTTTTCTCTTTGTAAGGGGCTATAAAAAGGAAGGAGTTAATAAAATTAGTCTTTTAAAAATTGACTTAACTAATTTTCTTTTTCAGAAACCTTCCTGCCAAATCTGTTGAAGAAGCTTTACGTCACCGACAAGAATATGATGAGATGGTGGCTGAGGCTAAAAAACGAGGTATAAAGTTTAACCCCAAATGGTATAATTTACTGATTTTGTGTTGGTTAATTTCAACAGGAAGATGGATGCTGAAATTGATCAAGTCTGTCTTCAAGATGAGGCTGAATTCTTATTTTTCTCTACTATTTTTTATAACTAAAAGTATAACTAAAGTTTCATAACTAAGTTGGTTCTTAAAGAAGTATGAAATGTCCTATCACGGTCATAGTTATGTAAGTACTTTCACAAAACTAATATTAGAATAAAAGAACAGACTATCTATGAAGATATTATTCATGACTTTGTTCATGAATTTCACGTCTTTTAAAGTTTTTAAGTTTTAGAGGAGGCGGGGCAAAATGGCGGACTAGGCAGAAGGATTGCACAGACCCTCTTCAACAAAGAAAAGGGAAACCAATTAACACAGACACAGAAGATAATCTTGGACCCCTGAGCCTT